GCTATATATATAACCAATGGCGTCTGAGCTATGCTCACACATTAAACAGAGAAGAAAAAAGTACAGCCGCATATGAAGAGACGATTAGGAAGAACTTTAGGCACGATTACGAAGAAACACTAGGAATTTTATTATTAAAAAGGTATCATCTTATATAAAGCTATACACAGCTCAACAGTTGTAAACTAGAGCTCAGTTAATGCGTATCCAAAGTAAGTCGGTGCAGATTTTTCATCAAACACTTGTCTTCAAATTAAACTATTGCAATACTAACCCTCCTTTTTCTAAATTTCTTCGTGACCCACATATTTTATTATTTTGTTTTGGATAAATTACACGAATGGTCCCTGAGGTTTTTGATAATCTACACGCTTGGTCCCTAATGGTTTTTTTTTTTTAACTTGGTCCATCCCTATAATATTTTTTTATTGCCTGTTTTGCTCCTGACATACTTAAAAATACTATACTACCCTTTGATGTGAATTAAGAGCATTTGATTTGGCATGTTGAATTAAATGAACAAAAAAACACTGTAGTTGAAATGATTTCGAGTATGAATTCTACGATCAGAGTAAAGTAACAATATTACTAGAAAGTAAGAGTTCATCACACTTTAAAAACATCAAACATACGTTTCTGAAATCCATCAAACACAAGTTTTTGAAATCCATCAAACACAATTTATTAACATAAGATACTAAAAACTATCAGAATCTATCTTTATGGCAGAGAGAACAAGCAATGCCATGTCATCCAAACTGCTTCAACAACCTCAAACTTAGCCACTTGCTCCTGGAAGCATAGGGTCGCACTTAATCAACTGAGAAATCAAAAGGGGAAGTCAGTGAACAGTTAACATTATATATACCAGACTGAAAGAGTAAATAATAGTTGCAATTGAAGTGCATTGCAAGAATACAAATAAATGAAGGCCAAATGTATACTGAGTGAAGGTAATGAGTCTGTTACACTTCTTATTAGGCATACCTTTCGTCCTGTTAGTTGTGGCTTAAGTAGAGCAGTGAGGGCAATAAGGTCTTTTTTACTGTTAGATCAGTTAGGTAGGCTTAGTTGAGTGGTTAGTGTTAGTAGTTGGTATCTTTGGTCACAACAGAATATAAGTGAATTTAGGAAGAGTTCTTAGCCTCTTGAATGCTAGTAAACTTAAGTATGCTCCATGATCAAAACTTTAAATTATAGATAATGTCCTTTTGCAGACCTCATATATTACAAAAGAAAATGAGAGCATCCCATGAGTAAACATGAAGATTGAGCTATGAGGCCAAGATCAACAAAGTTTTTTAGGGATGTACAGGAATCATCATAAGCATTAATAAGAATTCAGAATCGAGATATAATTCCACAGTTTGTATTAATTATATGATAAACAAAATGAACGCACCTTACAACTCTTCTTTCTATTACTCTCTTGTGTCTTTCTCTTTGGCCTCCCATTAACATAGGGAGATACAAGACTCTCCATATAGATAGGGGCACAAATATACTCCCTAGTCTTGTAGAACAGCATATCACGACACAAAGTTCTCTTGTTAGGAATGTAATGTTCCTGCTCTTTCAAGCATTGTAAAGCTAAGTTCATATCACAGTCCTTTTCAAACATTTCCCAAGACAGCTTTCCATTGTAGTTCTTCAGCATCCATAAGTTATCATTAAACCCATCACAAGGAGATATGCATAAACAATCTTGGGTAATACCTAAATTCATATTTGGGCAGCTAGCAACACCAGATTCATATCGCTCATCATCAGGTTGGGGAGTTATGATAAATTTTTCTTCAGATAGCCGAAACGAAGCAATGACTCTCTTCTTATTTGGAGATGAAGAATCTTTCATAATCCAATGAAGTGCTCCATTGCATAAGATACCAATCCTACTAAGAAACGAATACTTTACATCTCCAATTAGTTTCCAAACATTTGATTTCAAACTTAACACTTGAAAACATGTCCAACCAACACGTTTACGGAACCCTAATACAACCTTGTAATCATCCGTAGATGAATCATAGCCAAAACCCCAACATAAATGCTTCGTATCAAGAATTTGAGGCTCTTGTAGTGTTTGAACCTCTCTAGTTGAGGGATTAGCTACTACAAGTTGAGAAGCAAAAGAAGAGATGCATACAAGTCCATTGGAAGAACCAAGAAGATGAAAATCGCGATCATCAAAGAATCTGTCATCAACATCACAAACACGCGACCCGCTGCGATAAGAGACCCTTGACATAACAATCCTCCTGTCTATATCATTGTTTTTGTAATCAATTTGGTAACTATAGTTCATATGGAATTTAATGAAACCAGAGTCAGTGATCAATTTTTCCCAAGACTTACACACACTTTTGCAGCGGATTAGATCCCCCACCTTCAATCTTTTCAGTATATTCGGAAGGACATCACCGTGAAGCTCTGCCATCGAAACCCTAGAGTCGGCAATCCGAAAGGAAAGAAAGGGTGGGGGGGGGGGGGGGGTGTACCCACACGATAGCGAGAAATTTATTTCTATGGTGTATTTATTAGGGATTTTAGTTATCAACACTCGTAAATGCAAAACATGATATGATGAAATTATTATCACGATACTTTACCATTTAGAGAGATTCATTTACTGAGATGGCTTTTACAAACCTGCCATATATGATTAGTAGTTCAATACCCATAAGATCACTAATGCCATCTAGATCATGATCTTTGATAATTGCTTTGCTATAACTACTCAAATCAGTGTTAATGGCATACCTTCTTTCTTGAGTATTTCTCTTATTCTTCCTTTAAAATGTCCACTAACATGTATTTATCATGAGTTGGTAGAGGTTGTGGAATAGGGAGATTTCAAAATTCAGCAAAAAAAAAAAATGTTTTTAAGTTTCCATTCTAATGTTTTTGAGATGTCATACTAATTTTGTATTTAAAATGTAAAATTTTTTTATAAAGAACTATTTCTTTTCCAAAAAAATAGTTACGTTTAGCCCAAAAAAGAACTTCATTTGGCGTAAAAAAAAGCAACATAAAATAAATTGGGGGGGGGGGGGGCGGGCGCGTGGAAACATGACAAGTTAGGGGCGCGGAGGGGGATGCAACCCCGGATCCGTTTGCCCCCATTAAGATCCTTACACTTAGATATATGTGTGAGCATCAAGAATCAACATTGAGCACTTGGAGCTACTGGGTACATGGAGCATCTGGGAACATGGATCATCTGGGATCAATAGAGCACATGGAAGCTCAGGTGAGCATCAGTGTCATATGTTGAAGATGCTCAAGGAGGATGCTCATAATCTGAAGACGCTCATGGACGATTGTCATAGATGATGAACTTAGGGTATCACCTTCATGAACTAATTCTGGATGATCCATAATTAGCCAGACCCATTTGAATTAGGGTTTTCCATGCTTGCCTATAAATAGGCTCATATCCTCATTCATTATTCCTTGCGTGATTGTCTGTGTACACAGTAATTTCAATAGAGCAATCATTGTGAAGTTGAGTACACATCATTTGGAGCAGTTAGTAAGCAAGAAAGATGTTATGACCCGAGATGTAGACCTCGTGGATCTCTTGACAGACCAGTGCTAGTGCTTGAAAAAGCCGTGAACTCCACTGTAACGTAGCCTCTTGTTTGCAGGAGACTAAACTAAGCTATTAATCTAATATTACTCTATTAATTGTTTTCAAATTCCAGCATATCTTATTTCATGAATGACTACCCTTTAAATAGGGATAAACAAAATACTCAAATCAGGAAACAAAAACTCTAAAATCGACTTAAACAATAAAAGATCCTAATTGCCAAAATTAAAAACGGAAACAAGATAACTTCCTATAATATAAAATACTTATTATCTATTAACTTGCATACTTATCAAGTATGATTCATAACATTACTCCCTTCCTTTGCATTGAGCTTGTCCGCAAGCTCAAAACCTGGGTGCGTGTTGGTAAAAACACCACGATCATCCCACGTAACATCTTCTACATCCTCCAACATGATACCAAACAGTTTCACACACTTATGGTCGATCGAGAACATCTCATCACAGTTAAAGCATTATCCTTTTGCTCGCCTTTCCGCCATCTCTGTAGCTGTAATCCATTTCAAAACCAGGTTCCACACTTCAGATTTCACTATTCCGGCTCCACCACCTGTTGACTCTCGGTTTTTTCTTTCTGTCCAGGGTTGATTCCCGGTTAATAGAGGTGCTCCAAAACTCCTTGGTCATCCCTCCTCCGCGAGTTTGAACTCAATCTGTCTAGCTAGGTTCATAGCATAGTATAGTGTGGTGGGTCTAGCAAACTCTACTTCGTAACGAATATCATTAGTCAAAACTGCACAAAAATGCCAAATACTTTGCTCCAGAGTCACACCCATCGTTCGCCCTAGCAGAAACTCAAATCCTTCACAATAGTCCTCTACCGTGCCTGTTTGCCTTAATCGAGTTAACTCGCCTAACGGGTTCATGCTCATCGGGGGTCCAAACCTAATTTTGCACTCTTCTGAGAACTCAAACCAATTCAAGAAGGTCTTCATCCTTTGTAGGTTATGGTACCACCCACTAGCCCGAACTTGTAGTGAAAAGGTGGCCTGCCTAACCCAAGCTTCAGTAAGGGTCTGTTGTTCTTCAAAGAATTCTTCACATCTTTGAAGCCGTTCGACTGGATTACCCTTCCCATCATATGTGGGAAACTCCATCTTGGCGAATCTCGATACTCTTCCCCTACGGTATCCCATATCTTCCATCTCTTCCCAGTTTTTTGGTTCCCCCTAATCCCTTTTGTTTGACCCTTCTGGTTAGAAGGAGTCCCAATGGTGTTTGAAAGGTTGGGGTTCACGTGTCCGCCATGATTCAAAAGCCTTACTTGATCCTCTTCCTGCACCTTCCTAGATCAAACCCTTACCTCTTCCAGCGAATCCTCCTTGGTACGAAAACCTACTGTTTGGATTGGCACCAAAGGTGGCGCCACGTCCTCTTCCACGCACCTATTCTGATGGGTCATCAAATCTATCAGACTCGAACATCTTGTCCACACTCTCATCTTCTTCTTCTTGTCTGTTGGATTTGTTTTGGGTTAGGGTTTGCAATCTCTCTTCCATCGCTGCTTGATTGGTCTGCAAGGCTGTCATAGCCGCCTTTAAATCATTGGTACTTGTCTTCAAATCATAATTGCTTTGTGTTTGTTGGATCATGAACGCTTCCAATTTCTTCATCAGTTCTTCCTGTTGTGTCGACATCACGAGCGCCTCTATTGCCAAATTTGTTATGACCCAGGATCTAGACCTCATGACAGGACCAGTGCTAGTGCTTGAAAAGGCCGGGAACTCCCCTGTAACCTAGCCTCCTATTTGTAAGAGAGTAAACTAAGCTATTAACCTAATATTACATTATTGATTGTTTTCAAATTCCAGCATATCTTATTTCATGAATGACTACCCTTTAAATAGGGATAATAAAAAGACTCAAATCCACTGGAACAGGGAGACAAATTATACCGACATCATGAAGAGGAAGGAGGAGAAAGTGAATGTTGGGATAACAACAGAAAAAAGTTAGGCACTTTAGACAAATGTCAAACAAACATCAACCATACTTGCAGAATAAAACTTCTGAAAAAACTTAATTCAAAACTTAACACTATATTTATTAAACTTTTGAAAATTTAATGTGGTTTAGTTGAGATGACCTACGTCCACGGGAGAACGAGAGAAAGAAGATTTTATTAAACTTCCAAGAACAACTATAATCACACATAAATGTTAAATCTCAGTTGAGCTTTCAAAAGAAAATAATCTTTCTTGCTTAGTAACTACTCCAAAAGATGTGCACTCAACTTCACAATGATTGCTCTCTCGAAATTACTGTGTACACACACAATCACACAAGGAATAATGATTGAGGATATGAGCCTATTTATAGGCAAGCATGAAAAACCCTAATTCAGATGGGTCTCGCTAATTATGGCTCATCCATAATTAGTGCATGAAGGGGATATCCTAAGTTCATCATCTATGGCCATTGTCCATGAGGACCGTCGATGAGCATCTTCAGATTATGAGCATCCTCCTTGAGCATCTTCAACATATGACACTAATGCTCACCCAAGCTTCCATGTGCTCTATCCCAGAGGCTCCATGTACCCAGTAGCTCCAAGTGCTCAATGTTGATTCTTGATGCTCACACATATATCTAAGTGTAAGGATCTCAATGGGGGCAAACGGATCCGGGGTTGCATCCCCCGCCACCGCCACTAAATTGTCATGTTTCCACGCTCCCGCCCCACGAATTCCTAAATTACGCCCCGCCCCCACCCCCAATTTATTTTATGTTGCTTTTTTTTACGCTAAATGAAGTTCTTTTTTAGGCTAAACGTAACTATTTTTTGGAAAAGAAAATAGTTCTTTATAACAAAATTTTACATCTTAAAAACAAAAATACTATGACATCTTAAAAACAATAGAATGGAAACTTAAAAACTTGTTTTTTTGCTGAATTTTGACATCTAAAAATCATGCTATTATGTATTATATTCATAAAAATAATATATATATATATATATATAATCTTAACGGGACCCATGAGACTTTCAGGACGTGACTACCCACCCCAGCCCTGAAGTTAAAACGGGGGTTAATTCTACCCTCACCCCCGTCCTTGCCCCCACTTTTTTAAACAAATACCTCAAACATGGGATCGGTGTCCCACGAGAATTTTTGACATCCCTATCTAAGTGCTCCATTAACATACCAAATGCCCCAATGAAATATCTAGATGCTCCATTGAATTTGATCAAGTGTTCACACCCTAACAGTGAACTACTTCTAGTGGCCTACATAGACGAAGTTAAGAAAGGATATGGATGGTTAGATGATTTGAGATATTCGAACCACATGAATGGAAATTGATCATGGTTCTCAAATTCACGTGATCGTAGTTAAACTTGGAAACAAAATAATAACGAACACGCCTACTTAAGGTAATGCTATGATCAAATTGAATGGAATCAATCATATTGTTTGTGATATGTACAATGTTTTGTAGTCGAGGAACAAATCTTACTATGTCACGGATACAAGAAAGTGGTCAAGATATCCTAACAAAAGAAATGTGTAAAATTTTTCATCCCAACAAAGGTTTGATTATTTTTAAGACCTTAATGGGTGCAAGTAGTATGCTTATGTTGTCTATTGAATCACAACCTCAACCCAGTCGCAAAGAAGACCGCTTGATCACCATTCACAAAAGGATAACAATTGAGATGTTTTGGCACACATGGTTGTGGAACTTATATTGTACATGGAACTTGTACATGTAGACCTTTACAAATGACGTCAAACAATAATAAAAGTCACAAGTTTAATTTTATTGATGATTTTAGTAGAAACTTTTGGGCATATCTTTTTGATATAGAAAAATTAAGACACATTACTACTTCAAATGTTTCAAGAAATTAGTTAAGAAGGGAACAGGTTTTCTAGTGAAGTTACTAAGATATAACATAGGTTTGAAATCGATTTGATGAATTTAAGGAAACATGTAAGGAAAAGGGAATAGAAATAAAACTTGCGTACAAATGCTTACATTGACTAGCAAAATGGAATCTCTAAACGAAAAAAAACGATCATTATTTAAATGGCTAGGAGTTGTTTTATCAAACAATGAATGCCAAATAGATTTTGGGAAGAAGTAAACTAAAAAACTATTTTATGGATAGATCTACCAATACAACTTTGATAGATATCAATCCTGAAAAAGCGTGGAGTAGTAATCACCCTTATGTTTCATATTTATGTGTATTTGGTTGTTTAACAAATGTTCATGTACCATAACAATAGAGAATGAAGCTTCATGATGGGAGCATAGATCCTATACTCTTAGGATTGGATTTTTGATTGAATCTAAGGCCTATAATTTGCTAAATCCCAATATTAACAAAATCAAATTTATAATGAATGTCATTTTTTATGAAGATAAAGGATAGGGTTGTAGCAAATCACATAGTAAAGAAGGTCGGCACTAAGAACAATACCAATGAGGATGACAACACCAACGAATAAGATGAACGGCTGAGAATGATATACATCATGAGAGATTTATAATAAGAAACGGGTAGAATTCCTAAAGTTCGAGATGTATCCATATGGGGAACTAGTTCGCCTGGAAGATTAAACATGTCGTCAAATTTTTCGATAAGGGCCTTGACGTCCTCGGAAGCCTCACTCGATTCAGTAACCTCCGATGCTAACCAATTCGGTGATACTATAAGCACATCTTGTTCATAATGTAATAACAACCTGAAGAATGATTTGAAAGAGACTGGGTTCTTAGACACCCTCGGATCTCCAACCTATGTAACACTCCATTTCCCTTCCATAATGTCATTGTAAGATCTTTCGAATTTAAAATCATATCCCCCATGTTTGCATCCATTTAATACCTAATATTACATCGGTGACCTAACTCTAGAGGAAAGAAATCATCTACGACTAGTAGATCGTGAAACACGAGAATCAATTTTTTTACCCGTAGTTCATGCAATGCCTTGTGAGACGAAGTTACCCGCCATCAATTAGTACCACCACTTCAAGACCGCCCATGTTTTTGTGTAGTTTCATAATCTATGTGGGCGTTAACACTATAACCGAATTTAATGTGACTTCCATTGTATCTAAGTGAGAATGATCCTAGTTTGTATTAGACGGTTCTTCCTGATCCTCTTCTTCATCTTCGTCTCTCAGTACACTACTTGATGGCTTGGTGCGAACTTTGCATCACATTTGAAGCATAACCCTTTTGCCCTTTAGCTGTGAGTTCATCCTTTGAAAATATTTTGAATGTCCTCAACTATCCCCATGCTACCTCTAACTTTCGTATAGGAGGTTATCATATCTCCATATGTTGATCAAAATGGCCAACCCCCAATCATGCCCCTCTCCCATCAACACGGTTCTCGTTACCGCTAATCGTATTGTGCGGGTCAATCCCTAGGGTTGTATGACCCTCACCGAAGATCTGAGTTTCGATTTAGCTTGTTGGTGGAAGTTCCTTCCTATATTGGTTTACAATGCCTCATATTGCTTCCACATTGCTTCCACAGCCCATTGGTGTTGTTGTTGATCGAAATGGCCCACCCCTATCGTACCCCTCTTCCATCGACATAGTTCTCATTACCGCCAATCACATTGTGTGGATAAGTTCCTAAGGTTGTTTGATCCTCACCAATGACTAAATTGTTGTATGATCCTCAGAGTTCCGATTTTAGCTTCTTGACGGAAGTTCGTGAAAACAAGGAGAATTTGAAATTTAAACTGAAAACTGCATCTTTATTACATTCAGGGCTACAATTTATAGACAAGAATAAACATGGAAAGAGCTCTAATCTAGGCAAGCTAGCTATACAAATAATAATATTAAAAATAAAGATTCCCTTTGACAGATTTTTAGGGATCAATCATGATTCTGATTTGACTTTCCATTCCAACACTCCCCCTCAAGATGGTGAATGTATATCCCACATTCCCAACTTGGAAACATTGCATTCGAAATCTGTTTTCAGCAATGCTTTAGTGAACATGTCAGCTTCCTGCTGCTTTTCTGGTAAATAGTTGAGACTGATGGTACCATTCTCTATTTCAGTCTTGATGAAATTTCTATCTATTCGAACATGCTTCATTCTGTCGTGTTGAATAGGATTATGGACAATTGCAATTGCGGGTTTACTATCACTATTCAACTTCATTGGACCATCAACATCTATTTTAAGATCTTCCAGCAGCCTTTTAATCCAGATTAGCTCACAAATTCCTTGAGATATTTCCCTATACTCTGCTTCAGCACTGCTTCCAGCTACCACAGTTTGTTTCTTACTTCTCCAGGTAACTATGTTTCCCCATACTTTAGTACAATAACTTGTTGTTGACTTGGCATCAGTTGAGCCTCCCCAATCTTCATCAACAAACCCTTCAATGTTCCGTTGTTCATTTTTCTTAAAAAAATGTTCCTTTTCCAGGTTTGCCTTTCAAATACCATAGAATTTTTTGAACAACTTTGTAGTGTCTTTTTGTGGGAGAATGCATATACTGGCTTACTACACTCACACTGTATGCAATATCAGGACGTGTTAGAGATAGGTAAATTAACTTACCTACAAGGCGTTGGTACTGCTCTCGATCAACTGGAGGGTCATTATTGCTGATTTTAGATGTCCGGTTTCGCTCTTGAGGAGTACTTGTTGGTTTGCATCCAAGTTTTCCTGTTTCTTTCAAAAGATTGAGAACATATCTTCGTT